CTCAGCAGTCTTCACTTAAATACACGGGAACTGCACGATTTCTCAACTTGGCGAAGCTGGCGTGGGAGAACATGGTTTGAACGATGCCCAATGTGTTTGCACGGAATGCTGTGGGACAACACTTGCAAATAAAGTTTATACATTAATCTGCTAATTCCGGAACATTAGAGAAGCTAATAATATAAGAAAGCAAACACACTCCTGCTATGTGACATTAACTGAGATGGTTAAGCTTTAGTAGGAGAGGGCTTTGCGCAGTGTGGAGCTTGTCGTAGTAAATGCTCACCTGTGACAAAGGCCAAAAGCTTTTCTTGCACTTTTCAATGTGCTCGTTTTCTCCTCCCCCCAGGATGGCACTGGATCCCTAAAGCGCAGCGGCTCCTTTAGTAAACTTCGCGCTTCCATTAGACGCAGCAGTGAGAAGCTGGTTAGGAAGCTGAAGGGAGGAAGTTCACGAGAGAGTGAACCAAAGAATCCTGGGTAATTATTGCTTTCTAGATGTGATGGAATGTTCCGCTTGTACGCGTCGTCGCTCTGTGCAGTAGGTTCCTTCTCCTGTAGCCATCTGATGTGTAAAACGTCAAAACGCACACACCTATAAATGATCTGATGGCAGCTCTTACAAATGTAGTTCAGAGAATGTTACGTGCACTTGTTGGAAGTTGGTCCAGACGGCTGGGGAAATCTGATCTCTGTACAGAAGTTTGATTGTAAACAGTTTCAGTGTTTTGTAAAAGCAAAACTTTTTGATACCATATAAACCATAGAATCTGCACATAGTTAGCTATTCTGTCTTTCCATCTTAGGACACAGGAACAATATTAGTTGAATTTCAACCGTTTTCCCCTTAATTTATTCTAAATAGGGTGAGGGTAAAGATGGTGCTATTTTGGTTTGATAGAAATAACATATGTTTACGGATATTTCTAGTGTGTGGGATAGGTTATCCAAACTCTAACAACAAACGGGATACTTATTTGCACTTTTTCATTATTAAAGATGTTTCAGTATAGTACTTAAATTGACTGTCCTAATGACAGCTTTGTATCCAAGATACATTTAAAAAGAATTAGTAATGAAATGGAACAAAACCTGCTGTGCCAGTCCTTGCAGTACACAGTAGGTGAGCTTAGTTACAAGGAACCACTTTGGCCCTTCTTATGAAACTTCTGCTGATTTTCACTCGTGGACATTGTGTTGGGATTTCTTGCACAAAAGCACAGGCTGTTCATTGTAATTACCTCTGAATGTGACTAGGCAGAGGCTAATTTCAGAAGAATGGTGGCTAGATATTTTTTAAAAAAATCTGTTTTCCAAAGTCAGTTTTAAGCGGAGATGTGACAGTATTAACACAAGCTTTATTTGAGAAAGCTTGCCAATAGTATTTAACTTCAACGTGAGCGGTGCAGACGTCAGGGTGCACTTCTGATGTACAGGTTAGCAGTGTTGGCTGCTTATAACAAAATTAACAGGACCTATCAATATTTACAACATTTACAAAGCTGAGGACGGCCATGGTGGAGCTGGCCGACTGCTGCGGAGGCCTGGGCCTCCTGCCGCTTATCCAGTGAAAAACTTGCGTGAAAACGGGACATGTTACTGACCAAATGTTCCCTCGAGCTTTGTGGCATTCCCTCCCCATGAGCTGGCCAGCTGTTTGTGTGTCGAATGTTCCATTGATTAAAAGCTGTAAGGTGCCCAGAGCCATCTGTCTCTGGCTGAGAAGCTTGAAAAGGGAGAGCTCCAGGTTCTTGGCAGAGTGCCTGGCTCCGAACTGAGCCCGGCTTGGCTGCGCTTTGCCATTTCCCCGACACACTGTCCTGGCTCCTCCACAGAAGTCGGGCAGCACCCCCCTCTCGCCAAGGAGTCCCTCTTGCCCTCAGCATGACTGGGAGATGCTGGGATGAGAACCAAAAACTGTGATGTAAAGCACAAAAAATGGGAAATAAAAATTGTAGAAACTTTAAACATGTTTCTTTACGTGTTATTGGATTAATCTCCTAAAGGTCAGGTTATTTCAAGATATTCATGATCAATAATAACAGGAGGTTACATTCCTGTACAAGAATAATCATCACGAAACTAGTAATATAATATGAAATTAATTCCAAGAGAGTCCAAGAATAGGTAACTCCAGAAATTTCAAGTAAAGTCTTATCCGCCAGGTCCAGACTGGAAGATTCTGCCTAAAATATCCATGTATATCCAATCGGGACTATTCTGGGTTGTCCATATGGAGAGCCCAATGTCCTCATGAAGAATCCAAAACTGTGGGACGAGGTATCCGGATTAATTATTGACTCGTTTCAAGTAATACACTTTTCTTCAGACGAAATATCATCATGGACATATTACAGTTTGAATCTTGTATGGGAAATCTATAAAACATCATAGATATAGCACTAGTCACCTACCGAAATGTATACATTGCCTTATAAAAATACTGTAATCATTTTAAAAATATCCTGTTAAAGAAAATATATCCATAATTTACCGACCCCACTGAAGCCAATATGTATAGGGCAATTGCAGATTCTTACAGAAATACTAAGCTCATTACATCTTACAGTTTCTACCATTTTTCCCCCCGTTTTTTTTGCGCTTTACATCACAGTTTCTGGTTCTCATCCCAGTGCCTTTTTGGACAATGATTCCTCCCTCTCTTTTTTTTATTGGGAGATGTGGCAGCAGGGCCCCCCCCCCCCCCCCCCCCAGTCATTTAAACAGGCATCATCTCTTGGACCTCTGTTGGCCTCCACCAATGCCAGCCATTCGGATTGTGCTCCTCAGTGGTACACTGCTAGCCGGCAGGGGTCCTGATCCTGGGACATGCTGCAAAGCTGTTCTGTCTTCTCCTGCACTACCAGCCACTCCTGAAGCTGCTGCCCCCCCCCCTTCCCAGCCTCTTGAGTTTTTACTTGGATCCTTTCTTTCTGCAACACAGGAAGTTAGTGTTAGCAGTTACACAGAACTCTTTCTACCAATGTGGTGACTCTTTTGTGGGGGGGAATAGATTCTTGAATCTGTCATTATATTGGCTCCTTATCTGCAGGTTGTTTCAGTCTCAGTGATGGAGGAAGTTCTTGTTGGTTTTCTTACGCTTAAAGCTCTGCCAAGAGTTAGCACTTAGCAGTGGAGGAGCTACTTTTGAAAACATAAAATCAGAGCCTGCTTCTAGCACTGGCCGGACCGTGTTGGCCTCTTGTAAGGCAGATTGGTAATAAAGGAAAACGTAGTTGTTCTTATACAGGAAAAGTAGATTTCCAGGTGCTATTTCCTGGGAGAGTACAGTGTTGCCTCCTTAGAAGAATTCCCATTTATTTAGTTAGATTCAGGATACTGCTTCATGTTTTTATTTTTACCCTCCGGCTCACACATTTTTGTCTTAGCTCAGGAAGGATGGCTTCAGACGAAACTAATTTATGCAGTAGCCAAATCGCTTGCTCACAACTTTAACGGCAGTAGCTCACAACGTAGAATTTTTGCTCACAAGACTCCACAGCTTAGAGGGAGCATTGGTCCCAAGTGAGACTTAAAAAAAAATTAAACACCCTGTGATATTATCAGAAACACCTCTTGGAAATCCCTCTCATTTGCAGAACCTTGCCGCAATTTTGAGAAGTATGCCCAAAGTTCCCTGGGTACATAGAAGCAATTATATGATTCTATTGTATCATCTTAGAGATGGACCCCCCAAATTGAGAGAGCAGTCAGATTAGCAGACTTGTAACTTCCCCTATTCAAGCCTATCAGCTCTTCTGCTGGTGCAAACAAGAATAACCAAAAATGCTAGGCTGGGGATCATGGGCCACATGGGATATGGGTCGCAGAGAGGATAGGGATTGGGAAGGATTCTCTCTCTCTCGCAGTAGCAGAAAAGTAGATGGAATCTAACCATCTGCACCCTCAGATCGTCCTCAGATGACTTTTCCCCTCAGTTGTTCCTTAGTTAATGGAGATTATTTCTAGATTAACCACTAACTTTGAAACTTGAAACCTAGAACTTGCTTTCTAGTTAAATTATTTAAGAAAATCAACTTGACTTCCATCATCCAGTAGATTGCATTATTACCAGTTAAGTCTTATAGAGCAATTATTTCCTACCTCATTGATGCCTCCTTGGAGGGGATTTTAAGATGCAAGAATAGCAGTGCTTTTAACCGGCTGTAGGTTGTAATGCAAAGGGAAATGATGAAAACTAGTGGTTCTCGACAATCCTGCCTCAAACTTGAAACGTTTACAAATGCACTTGCCAAACTTAATGGTCAAAAGTATTGCTAGGTAACTTTTGTTCTAAAATTACTAATGTTATTAGCAAAATAGGGGCTTGATCATGCTGCATATTTTGTTTGTATTATTTAACCCTTCTGTGTTGTACCTGTGGAGTTTTTTAAAAAAATGGACTTTGAATTTCAGTTTTTTCTTAAATGTGCTTAGACTTTGAGTTTTGCATTTATGTGCTTTGAACATTTTCATTTGTGTGTGTCCATTTATTCTTAGACTAACACGTGTGTGCTTTACTGTATATTTTGTACCAATAAATAACACCGAGGTGTCAGTGCCGCATGATTTACCGCTTCCTTTGTGTTGCTAACGCTTGCGTTTTAGTATGTGCACACGCAGTGTGGGTTTTGTTGAGGTTTTTAAAAACATAGTGCTTAAATGGTTATCATGACAGCCCTGAAGCTGAGTTTTTTGTTCACAGTTTTGATGTCCCAATGCCAGAGTTGCTGCAGTCGATTATTTCCCAGATATTTAAGGATAAGAAAGCCCATTGAATTTAGCATTGTGCTTCTACTACATTGGCTGGGGTCGAAACAACTACTTTAGTCATACCCAATGCTATCACTCTCCCCACTCCCTGTTTGAATAGCATCTCTCTATAAAAACTGGTTTTCCAAACGGCATAGAGGCCTCCCCAGAGCCCTGCTGGTTATGCGCGTAACTGCCTGCACAGTTCTTTGGGTTCTGGCCTTTTACATTCCGATCAGAGGCCTTAAGAACATAAGAAGAGCCCTGCTGGATCAGACTGGTGGTCCCTCTAGTCCAGCATCCTGTCTCACATAGTACCCAACCAGTTCCTCTGGGTGGCCAACATCATGGCATGGAGGCTGAGGCCTTCCCCTGATGTTGCCTCCTGGCTCTGGGATCCAGAGGTGTACTGCCTCTGAATGTGGAGGTTCGCCGCCGTCACCACGGCTCGTAGCCACTGATAGTCCTATCCTCCATGAATCTTCCCCCCTTTTGAAGCTGTCTGTTCCGGTGGTCATCACTACATCTTCTGGCAGTGAATTCATAGAATCGTAGAGTTGGAAGGGGCCATACAGACCATCTAGTCCAACCCCCTGCCCAATGCAGGACCAGCCTAAAGCATCCACATTTTTGTTACTCTGTAGTATGTACATGTGCCCTCACCCCCTCTATTTGTAAAAGTAAGTCAGTTGGATCACCAGAACAGGGGCTCAGCTGTTCTGCCACTTCATTGGTTTGGGGGGGGGGCGTCTGAGGTTTTGCAAGCAGTTTCCTTGCCCTTACAAAATGGTCACTTCAGTGCTAAAACACTGTGGTGGACAAAGCTGTCCAGTTCCCTAAGGTCTTCAGCCTGGGCAGCTGGTCCACAAGGCAGGGCTCTTTGCATTCAAGGAGAGGAGGAGACTCCCATAGTTAAGGAGCTGTCTACAATTAACTGTACAGTAACCCCATTGTTTGATTTTTCAGTACCCATTCTTGTTAACTGAACAGCTGCAAACAGAACCTGATGATATGAGATGCGTAAGAGAGCTGTGCACTGTTTGTTGGCTGTGCACTGTTTGCCAATCTTGCAGTGAACACCTCCAAGAGTTTTTTTTTTTTTTTAAAGCACGTTCTTGATTTGTAGATGGGTTAACTGCTGGGTGATCTCTCAGACCCTTGGACAAAACTACTGTGGTAGGAATTTCACTTGTATTTGACACTGTGGAGTTAAAACCACAGTGATGTGTTAAATCACCAGTTAAGGCCTTCTGGGGACTGAGATATTCAACCGATAGCTATAGCAGCAAGGCCAAGCTTCGGCTGTTTATCTCATAATCCAACCTGACCTGGATTGCCCAATCTGGTCAGATCTCAGCAGCAGCAGCTGAGCAGGGTTGATACTTGGGACCAAGGAAGTCCAGGGTTGCTACGCAGAGGCAGGCAGTAGCAAACCGCCTCTGAGCGTCTCTTGCCTTGAAGACCCCCATCGCCTTGGCTGTGACTTGACAGCACTTTCACACACACACATCTCATAATAGGGTCAAGAGGGGCGGTGTTGTCTGGCTCGTGCTCTTCTAAATTGTCCAGAAACCAAGTAACCACGTGGAACTCTTATTTCAGAACTCCGCATCTGTGGAGACCTCCTACAGTTAAGTGCAGCTTTTAGTGAGTGTGGTGATGTTGCACATCCGAACAGTTTACTGCACTGAAGGGTCTGGAGACTCTTCAGGGCAGGATCTCACGCAGCACAACTTCTGAACGGACGTCACGGAAATGAAATCCCACGTACCGTTCCCTGTGCAGATACAAGCAAGCAGGGGATGTCCCGGTGACGGTTCTGAGACTCCGGTTACAGAAAAATGCATGTCTAGTAGTAACGTGTCTGAAAAAGCATTCTTTTGTGAGACGTTAGGGGTTATACCGCAGCAGCAGAATTCTTGTTTTATACACGTGTGTATTCAAAGCTCTCAGTTTTCAGCCCTTCTTACCGGTTTGTCCTTGCATGTTCACTGTCCAGCATGAAGCGCGCCAGCTCACTGAATGTTCTTAACATGGGTGGCAAAGCCGCTGAGGATCACTTTCAAGTAAGAAGCCCTATAATATTTTTATGCATAGAGGGTAATGGTAGGGCTTGGACCTGAATGCTGTATTTGTTGATTTTAAAATGGCAGAGGTTTGGGGGTGGGTGGGGGCTAAGCATGTACTTAGTTTCACGGAGACGGTTCCACGTGGCCCACCCGTTTGCTAAAATGGAGAGCCACTTCACACGTTCGCAACCAAATAAGCTCAACTCCCTTTGAAATGGCCACCCAAACATCTGCTTGCATGTGTGAACTGGTTGGGTTTTATGCATAGACGATGCAGGTACTTCAGAACTATTCCTTGCTTCATCCTTGGGGACTCCAGAACACCGCAGTTGCTGGAACTGCTACATATTGGATGCCAGACAGATGTAGCAAAGCTGACCACATTTGAGGGACTGTAGAATCAGATGCTCCCTGCATTTCTGACAGTTGTCCTTGCAAGAGTCTCCCTGAAATCACTCAAAGGACAGACGTCCACAACCGAAGCAGTTATTTTTGTGCCCACACTACTGTCCTTCACATTAATAAGGGATGTGGCTGCTGGTGTAGAATCTACCACCTCAGCACTTACCTCCCAGCAGTGTTACCAAATGTCCAGCAACTTCTTATATCTTATATATTCACAATGCTAATAAAGCTCTCCAAAGTTTGAGTCTCTCCTGCCTGAAACTCTGCCATTGCGCATTTCTAAGAAGAGTCAGGGATGTCCGCTGGGTACTATTCTTGTCCCCAGTCAGATCAGGTAGAAGAATATCCTGTGCTGCTCAGGAGTCTGAGGGGGCAGTGCCTCCTCCCAGTTTAGGAGGAGCTGAGCTTCCCCCACCTTTGTGAAGGGGCGCAAGTCTGTCTTGTTTTGGTAGGGATCTTAGTTCAGTTTGACCTCGGCACAGTGAGGACACCAGGTTACTCTGAGCTTTTGTGAGCTGAACTAAAGTGAGTTGCTGGAGCAGCCAGGAAGCAGCTCGAATTCCAAAAGGACAGTGAGCAGGATCCTATGGCTTGCACCCAGCAATGTGGAAACATAAACTGCCGTAGCGCTGTTTTGCTTGCACAAGACAGTGTGCAACGGTTAACACTTTTCTCTCTCTAGACAAGAGCCAGTTTGGTGTAGTGGTTAGGAGCATGGACTCTAATCTGGGAGAACCGGGTTTGATTCCCCACTTCTCCACATGCAGCTGCTGGTGTGACCTTCGGTCAGCTACAAGTTCAGAGCTGTTCTCTCAAGAGCAGTTCTCAAAAGAGCTCTCTCAGTCTCACCTACCTCACAGGGTGTCTGTTGGGGAGAGGGGGATGGAAAGGAGATGGTAAGCCACTCTGAGACTCTTCCCCCTCTTCTATATTATAGTGGCCAGAAATTGATTGCACGAGGTCAAATGTAAGCGAGGTGAAAATAAGTTTGACTTAGCGCAAGTGGCTACTGCTGTCCTTTTTTCTTGCATTTCTGCTTACTCAAGAGCTGCAGTACAGATGAGACACTTTGGGTTGGATCCAACCCAGTTGTATGCATTGTGGCTTTTCAGGTATGCCCTTTTCCTACTGCAGTCTCTTGCATCCACCAAAAAGAGCTTCTTTTGAAGGTTCGGTGGTGGGAGAGAACCTCCAGAGTAGGATTTTGAGCTGTCGTCAACGGACTACGGGTACCTCTCTGAGGGATGCCAAAAGACCATGCTTACACAAGGATGCTTGTGAAAGTTCGCTTCCTGCCTGATCACAAAAGGGATCGTATCCAGCACCTGCCCCATTGTTACTTCTGGCAGCATAAACTGAGACTGCAAATCTGTTTGGAAATAATACTTCTCAGACTTTCTGAACCTGAGCTCCCCCCAGGACAGCTCAAAGATTTGGAGTAAGACTGAAACCTTTGGGTAATCTCCCGGGATTAAGAAAAAGAGGTGGCAAAAAATAAGCATATGGGGTGAGGTGTGTAGATCGTGGAAAGGGTTTCTCCACAGCTGGGTTGTAGTGGTAGTGCTCCCCCCCCCAAAAGGCCTACGAGAAAAACGCACACTGCACAATAGCATTTCCAGTTGGCTAAAGATATTCTTGCATTGTGAAACTTGGTCCCCCAACCCCACAAAACGTGAAGGTACTCTTGACTTTCAGAACCTGAACTCCCCCCAGGACAGCTCAAAGATTTGGAATAAATCTGAAACCTTTGGGTAATCTCCCAGGATTAAGAAAAAGAGGTGGCAAAAAATAAGCATATGGGGTGAGGTGTGTAGATCGTGGAAAGGGTTTCCCCACAGCTGGGTTGTAGTGGTAGTGCTCCCCCCCCCCCGGCCCCCACAAAATAGCCCTGGCTATTACCATCAACCCAAAGGGGCACATTGACTTGTAAGCCCCAATATGAATCTGCACCTCGGGGCGGCTCACAGCTTATCTGTTCCCCTGGCAGTGGCTGTTTCACGGTAGAAACCACCTGCCAATCACAAGCATCTCCAAACAAATGCTCTTGCCTACTTTCCTGAGACATGGGCAGGTGCCGTTAGGAAGCAGTGTTCAAAAGAGCCACATTTGGCTCCTGACCTGCTGGCATGTGAGAAACTTGGGTTCCCTTTTAAATGTTCCAATCATCTTGCATAATACTTTCAAATTGTGAAGAGGGAAACTCTAATCCATGGTTGCTGCAGCCTTTTCTGGCATGAGCCGAGTGTTTTTTTGAAAGTGGGTGGGGCCAGGTAGTGCTTTTGCCCAGCAAGGCTTCTGATTGGCTGTGCAAAACATTACTTTTGGCAGCAGCTGCCACCACAGCACAAGGACCTTCGCTGTGTGATTGAAAGTACGCTGCAGCCGCCGTTTTGTGCCTGCACCCACCACATTGTATCAGAATTCCAGATGTGCTCACAGGCTCAAAAAGTTGGGGACCCCTGCTCTAATTCGTAAAATAGTCATAACCCCCCAAGCTCTTAAATACTTAACACGCAGTTGTCCTCTGGCTTCGATCGCAGAGAAATCTCCACTGCTGGAAGGATTTGTTGGTGGAGCACAGTTCCTTTACCTGCCCCGCTTGGCCAATCTGCTCCTCTTGCGAGAGGGGAGAATTGATGGAAACACCCCCACCCCCCCCCAATGAATGGAAATAATGGGATCTGACCCCATGACATTATGGGCTGTGTCCTGTTGTTCCAGTCAGCTAATGGTGGTGCATATCATGGATGCAAGAAGCTCTTCTGAAAGCAGAGAAGCTTCCGGCATCAGAAGATGGCTCCTTGTACATCGGAGGAATGTGCTGCCGTTACCTAAGCACGGAGATGCAGCCCACAGTCTCAGGCACGGCTGTTATAGGATGCAAAAACGTCTACCTCGAAGCTGGGCTAGGGTTGTTCAGACTTTATGAACTGCAAGGCATCCTGTGTTCAGAAACGGTTTATAAATTACGAATCCAGAGACTGTATATGCATTGGATGCTTGTGGTGTGTGTCCTTCATCCTGCTCCCACACCCCTTTTGTTTCTGAAAGTGGAGCGCTCCAGGCTGCATTGGAGACAATCCAGCAGAGGCAGCCAGCCTGCAGATCAGAGAGAACATTGGCTACTTGTCGATCTATAGCTTTCTACTCACACATGTGGCTTTCTGGATTCCAGACTAAGCAACTATCTAAATAAAGAATAAAATAGTTATTAATAGAGGTGGTAAGAATAGCTTCATGATAAACCTGGAGCAAAGCCCATGTAACCACAGGCTGACGCCATAATGAGGTTTTTATGGAGTTAAAAATTTTCCAAGCCTCGCGTGGTAGGTAAGCCAATACTGCTGTTGTTTATCACTCGACTCTGTTAGCATTTATTAGTTTTTCTTGTTGTTTTTTTTTAATTGTTGGAATTCTTTGGAACTGTGTTTAAACTCTTCCATTCTTTTCCCCCCCATGCAGGGACGAAATAATTGTCTGAGTGCCAGTCAGACTGATTTGGCTCACTGAGATGCTGGGACAGACGCTAGCTAAAAATTCCCTTGTGGATTGTGAAGCACTGAGTTTCAAAAGTTCTGGTTCCCCCCCCCCCACCCCCCTTCACTGTCCTTCTAGGACCCGTCTAGTCTAAAGGCACCAGTTGCTGTGGACTGCTGTTCCCAGACCGCCTCAAAAGGTGGCACTCTTTTTATAAAACTCCCTAGTTACACGGTTAGCTTCTTTGTGAGAAGACAATACGGAGTGTTCGTTGCATCGTCCGGCTAGTTCAGTGGAATTCTGTCACAGATAACGGCCCCAAGAAGCAGAACATACACACACACACTGAAATCAAAAGGATAAAGCAGCGTCGGGTGTGCTTTTTAAAAAAGACTGTTGAAGCGAGGTTGTGTGTTCGTTCCTGGAAGAGAGGTGGGATGAGAAGACTGGGCTTGGGGGGTCACTGTTGTAAAACCAGGGCCGTGCATTGTTACAGCGCTGCATCTTTGCCTCTCACGGTTCGTGCCCGATGTGTGATTCAGTTTCCGTAAGCAGTGAAGCAAGATGCTTAAAGCTTAGGTGCCACTTTTGGGACGCAGCACTTGTTACCCACTCATGGTTTCCACAGGCCTAAAAATCAGAAGCCGTGTGGTTCACTTAACTGAGGGTGGAGGGAAGGCGCAGGTGGGAAGCCAGTAAATCTTTACCTGAAACCTGTTGGCCAGAGCTCTGCATCTCCACCCCCCCACCCCAAAGGCTGGTCACCTCTTACCTTTTTCCTCTGTTCAAAGTGGCAGCAAGAAAAAAATCCAAGCAGGGACTTTGTATATTCGACTGTTACACTGTGCTTCCTATGCAGAGAGGTTTCGAGACAAACTTGCTTATAAAGCAAAAATTATACCACGTAGCAATTTCTGGCTGACAGGTCATGTTTCCTAATCATTGTTACAGGGTAGTGGAAAAGAACACACTAGCAACCAGAAGCAAAATTAACATTATCTGTTACAGGATAAGAAGTAAACCACTTCTAAATACGATGGGTTACCAGATGTCTAGCTAAAAACGACTGGGGGCTTTAAAAGTCTTTTTAAAAACCAAAGCTTCTGCATGCAAATGCATGGACGTTTTATTGTGGGGGTACTACATGGGTCAGATCTCTAAACCAGCAGCTGCTGGGTGTATACAGTATAAGTTTTATTCACGGTCACTGACCAGCACATAGTACACCGATGTAGCTGCTGGGTGAGGTAACGTTCTGATAAGGTCATTAAAATTGGTTTTAAGGGTGTAGTATGGGAAGCCTTGAATCTGAGAGAACTTTACCTGAATGCTCATAATGGAGATGCCTAAAATAAGGTTCTCCACCATCTTAAAGACATGCAGTTCTAAACGAACTTTGGGGAAGGAGTATGAAAACGGAAACAGCCTCAGGCACAAACGACGTTACATCCGTCAACTACAAATAAGTCTAAGCAATATTCAGGTGCCCACCCTGGACAGTAGCAACCAGGCCTTTACTCCGGGCTTTCCCCCTTGATAATTTCTCCATTTGGCGTTCTTGCTTGGTAAAAGAGATGTGCTGCTCCCATCCATCTGTTTCCCCTGGTTTCGAGGAGCCTTACTGTGCTCAAAGTCCCAGTTTAGGTATTTTTGTACAATAGTAGAAGTTTCACACAAGGTCACCTTAAGGTAATTTTATAGACAGTATACTTTGTGATGATGTAAATTCTGTTTCCCATGTGTTTTAAAAAAAAACTGGATGGGGTTTTTGAGCAAATATTCATAATAGCCTTTTTTCCAGAATGCAAGACTACCGATACGTTTTAAGACTCTCAACAGGTTTTTTCCCCCTATGTCTGTCTGGACAATTAACAAAATGCAGTTAATCCTCTGCTGAAAAACGGGGGGATAGAGGAAGGCACGATATTTCAGAACTGAAAATCTTTTTAAGTAGCAAGAAGCATTCTTTTTTCCTCTGTAAGCCTTTGCACCTGCCTCATCTCCCTAATTCTGTATGACTAGTTTTGACGAAAGGAAGATACGGGAACATAATTTCAAGAGAAAGCGAGACTGCTTTGTCCCCCCATGCCGGTTAATGCAGTCATCCTGTATCTCTAGGCGCCTTGTCTTCCAAAGGAAAAATGTGCCTACCCGTGGGGAAAACTGGTACCGGACTGCAGTTGTCAGACTTGCATGCATTATAAGAAGTCAGGGCTGAAGGGAAAACTCCCGTAGGTACACTTGAGAGCAGCAGGAAACAGAATGGATTATGCACATGCAGTTATAGCTGCATCTTATGTGAGCCAGTTCACTCTATCATGCTGCATGTCCTACACTCCCATCTTCGCTTTCAAGCCCATGAGCTGGACCCCATGGAGTGTTTCCACTGATGGAAACCTTCTGCAATACCCAGCGTAAGTAGTTTCTTTATCCCGTCTTCCTGCTGCAGCCCATAATGCCTCCTGCATGCTGTTCTTAGGGGCGAGAGCAGCATTTTGGGCCAGGATAGGAGGCAGAGGAATTACGCTGTGTGGGATTCAATTCATAGCCTTGCAAGAAACCCACACTTTAAAGCACACAGGTGATCGGGGTGTGTTTGTGCGCTTCTCAGCTACCAGGGAGGTGTGTCTCTCTTTAGGTTACAGTGAGACAGACTGGTAAGCACACACGGTCACCGATTGGTCTCATTTTGCACCAACCCAGACTATCTGTAGGATTGGGATACAAGTACTGTAAAAACTGGCACCTCCCCCACTCCCCACACTTGGAGCTTGTTCATTCCATGGTACTTGTGCTCAGAGTCTTCCAAGTCTTTTTCTTAGCGCAGACAGCCATGGGCGGAGCCTCTCCTCCCAAATACAGCATGACCTACATTTCAGTGTGGCTCTGTGTGGAGTGGAGCAGTCCCTTGTTGTTGGATCCCCAAGCATCGAGAATAAATCCACGTTTTCAAGAAAAGCAAAATTTATTTCAAAGCGTTGAAGACATACTCAAACACGTTCTTTGTTAGAACTGGGGATACACAGTTAGGTCAAGCATAATAAAGGAACTTCAAATAGATACAGATCCAATGAATTGCTTTCCCGCTGGCGGGCTAATGAAACGGTTGCGCGCCCAGTACGTGGGAACCAGGCCGGACATCAGACAAAACACAGGTGGCAGTACTCATGGGAAAATCAATAGGCAAGCATTACAGCATCTTCTCCCCCACACAACCTCCAGCAGTTATCTTACGCATTCCAAAGCAGGAGCAGGATGATAGAAACCAAGCCGGGTGTAACAGGGAAAAGATATGTACACAGAAGTCACAGAAAACAGAATGGCAGCTTGCTGACACTTGTCCCATGTAGCTCCAGTAACTTGATGAATTGCAACCCCTTCCAAAATGCGGCCGTCGGGCTTCCTCAGCTGCAAAACAGAACATCGAGCGACAGCCTTTTATCGTGTCCTGTTAACGCTGACACACGGTGTGGGTCCCCCAGCTCCCCATTTCAGCATTTAAGTGGCATTTGCGTTCATTGACAGCATTGGTTAGAGCACACCCCCTAGAAGTGCGATTAAAATGCCCTCCCTGCCGAGAGAAAAGCTGCCGTTCAGCTTAGTTTTTTGAAAAGCAAGCACATTAATTGCAGCCTCCATGCCTTTCCCGCAATAAACACCTTCTCGACGACTCTTTGCCCCTGCTTACTAGCACTCCAGGTGGTCTTAGAAAGGGTCACAGTTTGCCATGCACCACTTCCTTCTCGCTTTCAATACAGCTGTGGAACAACTTGTTTCAGAACTGCTGTCTTGTCCCTTTAGGAATGACTCCAGCTGAACCACAGAGATATCATCTGTAATTGATTGTCCACTTAGAATTGTGGGGTAGTTCCTTAAGCACACCTTTACAGACATCTGTCTTGTTCCATAATATGAATAAACACTTCTAGAATAGTTCCCCCCCCTTTCCATAAGAGCACCTTTTAGAAAAGTAGCTCTATAAAGGCAAAGGTTCAATCTGAAAAGGCCCAGAGTTAAGCGCTCCTCCCAATGCAACCTCCGTGCGGTGTTAAAAGTAACATTTAAGCTAGTAAAACTCAAAAAGTGTACAGACGAAGCACTGAATTTCTGCTAGTGTCTGCAGGATGTAGTTTTAATAGTGGACAAATCAGTACGTTAACTTTGTAGATAGTATTAACGGAAAAAAACCTGAACACTAACACATCAAGGCTGGAAAACTGTAGGAATGTTGGAGTTCTGTAAAAGGTTCCACTGATTTCTGGATATGAAGTATGGTTGTGTTGTACATATGAGCTGAAAATGAAATGTGTAGTGCTTGACTGCAATTGTTTACAATGTTAAGTTGAAATGCACAAAGTGTTAGACGGTTTTTTTTTTCCCTTGAAAGCTGCTATGTTGTGTTAAAAGTAACGAAATAGAGACCCTTGCTGGTAAGCAAGATAAGTTGTGTTGTATCTGAACACTCTATCATGTACATACTTCCCCTAAACCCCCCATTTTCTGCTCTGTAAGAATCCAGAGCTTTATTCCATGCTAACTTCTAGAATCAAATTAAATGTAGTGTGGGAGAGACTCTGTTAATGCTAAACTCAGGACTTGAGCGGTATTCTGAATGACATATGAGAAACACGAAGCTGCTGCTGAAAACGGGAGCTTCGGGTAGTGTTCTCTCCTCCCTTCTGTAAAGTATCCACAGTTTCCTTGGTGTCCTCTGCCCTTTCAGCTGTGCGTTCTTCCCTCCACACCCATTTCACAACACAGGCTGCAGCTTGTGGAGCCAAGGAAACGCACAGCATGCTGGGGAATGGAGATGAGTTCTACAGGCGAGGGCAGGAGAACTGACACAAGGCTGCCAATTTTGGTGGCAGCCGTGTGCTTTTTGGTAATGTGGACTTCTGCCCCTAGAGATTTATGTATTATAGAGCAGAGTTATATGTGAGTTAAGATACCACTGGACTGAAGCGCGAAAGAGTTAGTTCCTTTACCATTAAGCTTTTCAAACTACAATGCATCTCTTTGAGGAGAAAAGCATTTTTAACTGCATTAAAAAATTCACATCAAAGCACCGAGGCTACTCTAGTCAGTGAAGGTTTGACAAGGTAACAGTGTCAATAAAGACAAGGGAAACCTTTGTTCACTGGATGTATTAGAATTACCTTCTTGCTTTAGATTGGAAAGATCCTAAAACAGAAACTTGTTTAAAACTTTGAAGAGGTTTTTTTAAAAAATGCGTTAAGCCAAACTTGAATGTTAAAAAGAACTCCCTAGATTCCATTCTTAAAAGAAAATACAATTTTCAGTTCAGCGCCAAACAATAATAAATCACTGATGGATTTTTTTTTTGTAAAAAAAGCTCCATTTCTTGATTTTCCACTAAACCAACTGTGCTCTCAGCTTGCCACTTCAGCTCACCAAATACATTTTTATCCAGAAAAAACAGCACTAGAATATAGAGCAGAGGACAAAAAATGCCCGTTCTCCTCCTCTAAAACAGCAACGTGATTCCACAAGTGCATAGCACATTTCCATTAAATGACTCCTGTTGTTTTTTTTAAAAGCCTGTTACAGAACTGTGGTTCATTCTGAAAATGTTATCATGTAAAGCTTCTTTGGCATTTTCAAAGTATAAAAATAAAATATTGAAACAAACCTTACTGGCGTGTAAACGTGGCTTCTTTACGCATCTCGGGAATGCTAACCTGTCGGTGAAACAGTTAATCCATTTATAAACAAAAGGAGGGAGAAGACTTTTACCTCCCCAACTTTGCTTCATGTCATGTCGGAGTCTCCGTCCTCGTTCCTTTCACTCCTTGCGCGTTCACTGTGTAATAGCAAGCAGACTGGGGCAGGTGGGGCGCAAAAACCACTCTCATTATCCGTAACGTGCTTCCGGCAGGCTGGACTAGATGCCCTGTGCGGCTTACCATCAGCCTCATCAGCAGTTGGTTGGACCAAGTGATTCCGAGTGCTGGAACAACACTCCTGCCCGTAGAGCTGAAAAATGGTATTTAGTAGATGCAGTTATTTTAATTTTCATCCCACCACCACCTTCTAGGGGTTCAGGGTGGCATATGTGACCCAATTCCTCCATTTTAGTCCCTTTGCACAAACAGCCCTGAAAGGTAGGTGAAACGTCACATCTGAGCAGGGATTTGAACCCAGGTCTCGCCGGTCTTTGCCTGACACTAACCACTACAGTGCTTCAGTAGGATTCTCATTAGGACAAAGTTTGGACAGCCAAGTAATCTAAGCTTCATCTGCTAGATCAAGTGAAGACTGATCTTGATCACTTAACTCTGATCAGAAATGTTTGTACTAGTGAGCCATCAGGAGTGGAAGAAAAAAACACATGCTAAAATCTGCTTAGCAATCAAATTACAATTTAAGGTAAGACCTCCCTAGCTCTTTGGACAGTATGCAAAATCCAGTTTCATCGTCTCCCTTAACCAACTGATGTCTCTAATGGCTGCTAGCCTTCATTCTCATCGTAACCTATTCAAATCAAGGCTGTGTAGAGGAAAACCAGTTTTAACCCCCTGCAGATTATTAAATGAGTCGTAGCCTCTGGTCAGGTTCCTAATCCATTGTGGTTTTCTGTTTGCTGCACATGTCTCAAAAGACACGTCTCTTGTCAGTGGTGACCATGGCCTTTCCCTTGGTACAAGTGCTATTTCAATGGAAGAGAAACAGTTTAAGCCTCACATTTCACTTTGAACAGGGTTCACACCCGACGTATACATTCATCTCCTGTTGTACTCACCAAGGACTGCTGTGATCGTCAGTGAGGGCCTCACCCATAGTATCAGTTACCTGGGTTATAAAAAATATGGAAGGTTTAGAAGGCACACATTTATCACAGTGTTCCCTCTAAGCTCTTCCCAGCGTTCTTTTAGGCTATGGCTCAGTCCCGCCATAACACAGACCCACAATTTATTACCCACCTTGGTCAAGCAGGAGAAAGGAGGGCATACCAATATTTTAAATACATTTTTAACCACAGTTAGCTCGTGAAACCAAGGTTTGGTTTGCGGGTGATCATTCAAACCCTGGTTTGCCTCAACAAATCCTAGGGGGTTTTTTCTGCCTTTGCTCTGGCCAAGCATCTCTGTAGCTGGGGTGTCAATGAAAGTGATGCCAGGATTAAGCCAGAACGTTCATTGTTGTACGTCATTCAAAACCCATAATTTAAGGCTAACCCCGGTTTAGAAACCCAACTTCCAAGTCAAATAATGATTACAGATCCTGTCTTGATGGACTCCAGCTATACCCAGCGGAGTGGCCTGCACTAAAACAGTCACAGTAACCATAACCATAGCTAGTTCAACTAAACTTTGGTTTTGTCCTATGTCTGAACGGAGCCTAAACCTACAGCACAGTTGGCCCTGTGAGAATCAATAGCAAACGTCAACAGTGATGGCCTTCTTACCTGATTAATGCACACTACCGGGGTCCGGAACGTGCTGCTTAATCGGTGAAGTTTGGCTCCGAACGTCTGCAAGTACTTGGCTTTGAGTACAGAGTCCTTAGCAGCAAACTCGCATCGGAATAAGGCTGCAATGGAATCGATGACGACCAGGCGCACCATGCCTCGCGCAAGCAGCACATTAATCCTCTTTGCGATGCATTCGTGGAAAGTCTCCTGCAAAGACCAGGAAGCTTCAGACAGCAGACCGAGGAAAGAGTTCAAGAGCTACGCGGTTCTAAGAGAATGTTCTAGAGCCTCGTTGGAGAATTGCAGGACATTTCAAGAAATGCAAGCTGAGAGTGTGGCTTCTGGCACCCTTTAGAGCCACAGCTTGGCTGACGAAGATGCCTCTGATGTTGGCACAAGGTCAGAAACTGATGGCCAGCCCAGCCCAGCATGCTGCAAGCTGTGGTTGACAAGCTCAGCAAGTCACATACAAGGATTAAACTGAAAATTAAGCCCTTCTTTTCTTCGTCTCTTTTGAGACTGGTTTTAAGACAGCTGGGAATTAGGGTGACGCAAGTGGGGACCTGTGACTCACAGGAGGATCCCACCCTCCTCGTAGCTAACCCCACCCATTCGCCATCTGGATCACATTCCCTGCCACTATGCGGGGAAGGGATAGTAGTGGCTCCCCTTCTCCCCTTCCTCTCCACTGCGCTGCCTCCTCCTGTCCCACAGTGGCTCCCCATCTATCTCTCATGGTGGAGCCCAGTGGCTCCCTGCCCCCACTGTTGTGGCTCCAAGCCTTTGCCTCCACATGATTCCCGCCCCCCCTCCACCATCACGGCTCCTGGCCTCCGTCATCAAACAGAGGAGGTTAAGTGTGTGTGGTCTATGTTTGTGCTTTTGCTTGGGGGGATAATTTAAACCCCCCCTCCATATATTTGTTCAATGTTAAACTTTCCTGCAAACTTGGGGGCTCCCTGTCAATGTGGCCCTGATCTGCAGATTTAAGTATCCACAGATAAGGGCCACACTTTGCTATTAGAATACATGGTCATACGATGGTCTTTCCACAAGTTGTCCTTCAACACACAAAGATGTCTTCCAATGGAGAATGGCTCCCTCTGCTGGAGAAAAAGTCTCTCTTTGTTGAAGGAACTCTTTTTTCCATTGCAGGAAAACCTGGTGTAAGGGAGTCATAAGGGGTGTAAGGGAGTCATGAGATGCAACTTGAGTACCAAGTTCGATCATTGGCCCATGTATGTAATTATTTCTATGTCGCTTCTCTTCCCCAGGGTGACCTAAAGCAGCTTAGACTATCAGTCGCCCCTCTTACATTTTATGTTAGCAACAACAACCCTGTGAGGTAGGCTAGACTGAGAGTGTGTGACCAGCCCAAGGTCATTCAGTGAGCTTCGACAGCAGAGTGGGGATTCAAACCCGGGTCTGCCGGGTCCCAGTTCAACACTCTAGCCCAGCCCCTTGGCTAGGAACTGTTTGGTGGGGGTACAGGAAGCTTAAATCAGATCACCACTAATTAGATTATTGACTAATCTAATTAGCAATAGCCTTTTATCTTGTCATGCAAGACTGAAGCTTCTCTATGTTGTCTAATCTGACTGACGAGGCAGGAAGAAGGCCAGGCATTGTTGGAAAATCAAATTGACTTCTTTTGTTGTGCTGACGGATAACAATACCAAAAATGCCGAAGGGAAAACAGGATGGCTTTTGCAAAGCAATTGGCTACGCAAGGTCAATCTATCTTTCAAAGCAGAACAATTCAATACAAAAGCTTTACATTATTACTCTAGCGGGGGGGGGGAGGGATGGTGCAGTTTTGCAGAATGCGATGCTGGGTGCAGAAACCCAATTTTTCTAGCGCTGGATTCTGTTCATACACATAGAATCACAGAGCTGGAAGGGTCCTCCAGGGTCATCTAGTCCAACCCCCTGCACAATGCAGGAAATTCACAAATACCCCCTCCCAAAAAAAAACCTTGCTCCAAGCCCAGAAGATGAAAAAACTCTTCCAGGATCCCCGGCAAAACTGGCCTGGAGAAAAATGGCTTCCTGACCCCAAAGTGGTGACCCAACACTTCCCTGGGCATGCAAGAAAGGGCCACGAGCAGTGTTCCCTCTAAGCTGAGTTAGTGTGAGCTAGCTCACAGTTTTTTAGCCTCCGACTCACAAACTTTTGTCTTAGCTCAGGAAGGACAGCTCCAGCGCAACCCAATTGATGCAGTAGCTAAATTGCTCGCTCATTACTTTAATGCCAGTAGCTCACAAAGTAGCATCTTTGCTCACAAGACTCCACAGCTTAGAGGGAACATTGGCCACGAGAACCAAGCATTGAAGCAACCCTTCCTGCCCTCCTTTTCAGGATCTGCCCGAGTTCACAGAATCAGCACTGCTGTCAGATGGCCATCTAGCCTCTGCTTAAAAACCTCCAAAGAAGGACATGAAGCTGCATTATACTAAATCACACCTTTTGGGTCCATCAGTGTCACTGTTGTCTACTCAAACAGGCAGCAGCTCTCCAAGGTCTTGGGCAGAGGACTTTTACATTACCTACCGCCAAATCCTTTAACTGGAGAGAGGGTGGAAACTGAACCCAGGACCTTCTGCATGCCAAGTAGACTGCTCTACCACTAAGCCGCACGCCTCCCCCATTTCATAATAAGCTCAGGCACATTCCTAACCATTACGGTTGAGAAAATACACTGGGAAGTATTTTGTGCGATTTGTTCAAGTCACAGGGAAGCTGAAGGAGCTATGCAGAGCTCTGGGAACCTGACGTCGTCTGCTCCCTGCCTTTGAAGGTTTGGCCAGTACAGCCCACACATTTTCTGTCTAGTGCATTTCCATCAAGAAGCTCAGGATGGATTATGTGCTTCACCCCCCCCGCCCCCCGTGTGACCCTCAGAGCAACCCGGCAGGCTCAGCTAGACACAGAGAGAGCACACCCCTGCCCCAAGGCAAAGCAGGCAAGCTTCAGAGAGGACTGGGAATCTGAACCCAGCGATCCCAAATTCTAGTCCCTAGTGTGGTCTCTTCCTTACATTTCTTTAGAACGAAGTTTAAGACCAACGAAGTTTTATTCATCTGAAGGCGCCACCGGACTCAAAATTTGTTCTGCTGATTTAGACCAACATGGCTACCCCCCTGGATTTACATTTCTTTAGTCATTAAGGGCAGAACCTTTCCTGTCTGTCTCTCCTGAGCGACTGAGAGAGTCTGGGAAAGCAGGCTATGACACAGCAGCAGAACTGGAGGAAGAAGCAGAAGACAGCCAATCTCTTGTGGGCCTGCTTTGGCCCCCGGGCCGCATGTTTGACACCCCTACTCTAAGGGCTTTTCTCTTGTTTTGAACATTCTGCAGAGAGTCTCCATGCAGCCTTGACATTCACCGACTGCTATTTCCCTTCATGCTCTGGAATACTTCCACTGAAATTTAGGAAAAGGCTAACTTTATATTCTGTAACAATCTCCTGACCTTTTTGGCTGATATTTACTGCGACATGACAGCCATGGAGATGAGTCAGTCAGCCATGGAACATGAGCTCTCAGCATGAATAATGATTATCTTATCAGTAGTCTTTGGCAAGAGTCCCCCTTCAGCATTTCTGGTTCGGTGGCTGTGTTGGTCTGAAGTAGAAGAGCAAGAACAGCAAGTCCAGCAGCACCTTAGAGACTGAGACGATCTCCATGGTATAAGCTTTCGAGAGTCAAAGTTCAGGCTAGCCTGATCCCGTCAGATATCAGAAGCTATGCAGGGTCGGCCTTGGCTAGTACTTGGAAGGGCGACCTCCGAGGAATACCAGGGTCAGGACGCAGAGGCAGGCAATGGCAAACCACCTCTGAAACACTTCTTGCCTTAAAAACAAGTCTAGCTTGTCACCTAGTGGCATGTAATGCTAAAGGAGCTAGAACTTCTGGCTGCCAGACAATCTTAGGATCTCCTGGCTATTCTACACACACTGCTGTACGATAATTAATTAATTAGCTCCCTTTAGTCAGATGACGCTTAAAAGCTTATCCCCTGGAAATCTCGTGGGTCTTTAAGGTGCTCCTGGAATTTAGTCTTGCCCCTACAACATTTATTTGCATCTGTACAAAACTGGACTCCATAGCTTGGATCCACCAAGGATTTCCACCCACAGTGCACAACTTTCTCACCTCCTCTCTCCGGCTGCAACCTGAAATGCCCCCCCAAACAATTCTGCTCCTCCAGGACTAGCGGGGTGGGGGGGTGTCATTTCAGGCTGCAGGGGAGGGAGGTGACAAAGTCCTTCTCTGCAGGTGGAAATCCTCCCCCCGCCGCCCAAACACTGTGCCGGATTCCACACAGGACACCCAAGAGTCGGCTGGGTACTTACGATGTCGGCTGCGTGTTCGACAAAAATGCTGTTCCCAAACTTTATCTTCTGCACGATGTCGTGTGGAACATCGGCTCTCAGCTGGGACTGGCGCTCAATCAGCTGCTGGAGGCGCTTATGGGGGAAAGCGTCTTCTGTGCAAATGTAAACAGCACCTGCAACAGAATGGGACTTTGGGGACGGTTCCCTTCTCGCTGCAGCCAGTCTCGAAAGCACTGCTATCATGTTGGTTTTGTGGCACTGCTGCAGAAAGATTTCACAACAGCTTCCCCCCCTCCCCTTGCCATCCCAAAGTCTGTTCTTAGCACTTAGGCCGCAGCAGCCACTGAGGGGTGCCGTCAGACGAAAGGAGGACTCTTATGGTGCAACGCTAAGAAAAGCTATACACTTCTAAGTCCACCAAAGTCAATGGGTTTAAGAGGGTATCATTCTGCCCTTAAGTTTTCAGCAAAACATTGGGAAGAACTTCCTGACAGAGTGGTTCGTCAGTGGAACAGGCTTCCTTGGGAGGTGGTGGGCTCTCCTTCTTTGGAGGTTTTCAAACAAAGGCCAGATGGCCACCTGACAGCAGTGCTGAATCTGTGAACTTAGGCAGGTCATGAGAGGGAGGGCAGAAAGGGGTGCCTCAGTGCTTGGTTCTCATGGCCCTTTCTCACATGCCCAGGGAAATGCCGATCGCCACTTTGGGGTCAGGAAGCTATTTTTCTCCAGGCCAGTTTGGCTGGGGATCCTGGAGGTTTTTTTTGTCATCTTCTGGGTGTGGTCACTGGGGGCATGGGGGGGGAGTTATTTGTGAATTTCCTGCATTGTGCAGGGGGTTGGACTAAATGACCCTGGAGTTCCCTTCCAGCTCTATGATTCTAAGATTCTATAAGTACTGTTGGGGCACTAAGACCAGGACTATGTGTATACAACAAGAATGGAAAACAGAGGGAAAGCATGAACTGTGATACGGGATGCGAAATCTATTTAATGGGGGGGGGAATGCAAATTCGCACCCTTGTTACTCCTTGTAGCAATTTACTGCTATCAGTGCAGTATCCAGGGTTTCAGAGTGCGGAATGGTAACTTTCTTTTCTAGTGCAAAAACACGCACAGCCCCAACTAAGCCTAACATCTCTGGTTCGTTTATATGAAGAGTCCCCAACCTTTCTGCGCCTGTGGGCACCTTTGGGGTTCTGACACAGCGTGGTGGGCACAACCACAGCATGGCCCCTACGGGAAGTGGAGCCAGCCCACACACATGCACACAGAGAAAACCCAAGCGCAGGGGGAAAAGAGGATTAATTTAAAAAAAAATACACTGGGAAAGGGTGAGAGAATAAAACCAACACCGTGGTTATTTCAATCCGTACAGTCAGTTAGATCTCTAATGGCCAACTGGGTAGAAGCCACATTTGGCATCACCCATTGCTAGAAACACTTGGCGGGCACCACGAAAGGTGCTGGCAGGGGCCACGGTGCCCACAGGCACCACGTTGGGGAACCCTGATTTATACCCTGCTCTTCTCCCCAATGGGAACCCGAAGTAGCTTACAACCATTTTATCCTCTCGAAAACAACCCTTCGAGGTAGGTCAGGCTGAGAGAGTGTGACTGGCCCATGATCGCTCAGCAAGCTTCCATGGCAGAGTGAGGATTTGAACCTAGGACTCTCCCCAGGTCCTAGTCTGACACTTTGACCGCTACACCACAGCGGCTCTTAAGAGATCACAGACCTGCTAAGGAGACAGGCAGGAGAACATTTCTTACCGGATTCTAGCCCACCGTGTTCATACGGATATTGCACAGAAAGGCAGAGCTGCAAACCGATTTGCGTCTTCCCGGCCGAGCTCTCGCCAGCGATTTCAGTAATCCCCGTCAGAGGGATGCCGCCTCTTAGCAAACCATCTAGGACGGGGCAGCCCAGGCTTAGCTTCTGGCGTTGGGAAGTGCCGAGGTTTTCATCTTGGAAGAGCTGCAGTGCTACAGGACAGATAGAGAAGAAGGGAGAAGAATGATAGAATGTGAGAGCTGGAAGGGACCTGGCAGGTCATCTAGCCCAACCCCCTGCACTCTGCAGGAGCACAGCCGAAAGACAGCCCTACGACATACCCGAAAGATGGTCGTCCAGCCTCTGCTTGAAAACGCCCAGCGGAGGAGCATCCCCCACCTCCCGAGGCAGCCTGTTCCACTGCTCAACCACTCTGACAGTGAGGACGTTTCTCCTGATATTTAGCCGGTATCGACTCCTTGTAATTTCCACCCATTAGATCTAGATCTAGCAATCCGGAGCAAGAGAGAATAGATCCGCTCCATCTTCTACACGACAGCCCCTCAGATATTTGAAGACTGCCATCATGTCCCCTCTAAGCCTTCTCCTTCCCAGAAAATGCAGCACTGATTGTTCACCTGGGAGGAAGCTCCGAACAGAACCGTTGCACCTGTTTGGGAGGACTGTCCCCTCACCCTGTGCGCATCAGATCCAAACCAAGGACTCGAGGACAGATTTGATCAAGTGTGGGAGACCGAGGGCAGCGGCTAAGAGGGCAGCAATTGCTATTCCCTCCTAGTGTAGGCAAAGTTCAGGCCAGTTTACATACAAAGTTCAGGCCACTCTGTAGAAACAAACAGGCTGGGTCCTCCAGTCAGCAAGCGGAGGGCACCTTCCTTTTCTGCCAACAGTCTCCCCCTGTGACCGCCACAAAACTGGAACCTGGGAAGCCGGGGGGGGGGGGGGGGGAACCCCGGGGAGAATCCCAGTGGGGGGGGATCCCAGTAGAATCAGACAAAACAGCTCACTGCCCCTTTGTTGTCAGCACCTTTGCCAGCGGAAAATCAGGTGAGGGGGTCACAAGGCCCTGCCGGGAAAGATCCACTCCCATGAACCTCCATGTTCAGAGTCAGTCAGCCTCTGAATCCTGCTGCCAGGAGGCAACATCAGAAGAAAAAGAGTTGGATTTATACCCCACCCTTCACTTGGGAGTCTCAGAGTGGCTTACAATCTCCTTCCTTTCCTCTCCCCACAACAGACACCCTTTGAGGGAAGTGGGGCTGAGAGAGCTCTGAGAGAACTGTCCTTGAGAGAACAGCTCTGAGAGAATGTGACTGACCCAAGGTCACCCAGCTGGCTGCATGTGGAGGAGTGGGGAATCAAACCCAGTTCTCGCAGATTAGAGTCCGCCGCTCTTAACCACTACACCAAACTGGCTCTCAAGGGACTCTATGCCCCATTGTTGGCCCTCCGGAGGAACTGGTTGGCCACTGTGTGAGACAGGATGTTGGACTAGAGGGGTCATTGGTCTGATCCAGCGGGGCGCTGCTTATGTTTTTATAAACACCCTTGTGCCCCTGGCTCATAGAATCCAACTTCTATATATCCTTGGAACCAAGATCTTGGGACTTTCACTTGAAGATCCTTATCCTGAGATACCCACAGCAGTATCCCCAACCCAACAAATCCCCGGTTGTTTGAACAGCTTTTCTCTCAGTCCAAGAGGGCTTGAGAGGAGGGAACCGAAGCACCAATTGTAGCTGGGGCACGCAAGTGTCATCTCTTTCCATGATGAATGACTTCCAGTTCTTAAACAAATTTCTATTCTGGAACAACCACCATTTGTCTACACACGCAGGGAATTCAAAACTGTTCCAGCCACGCTTAATTTTCTCATAATACTCAGGCTACTCCATTCTTTTCAATGAGTTCTGGGCCATCATAGATAGTTTCCTCTCTATTTATGTTTGGGGTCCCCAAAATGGTGCCTGCCCAGTGTTTTTAGAAAAAGTGGGCGAGGCCCGGTGGGTCTTTTGCCCAGCATGGGTTCTGATTGGCCACCAGAGATTCCAATGACTATGCAGATTCTTTAAAACGTTGCTCTGGCAGCTGCCTCCACCACAGCTCAGGGATCTTCACTACAGCAGCCATTTTGTGGCCGGCTCTGCCTCCTGTAGCAGCTGTTTTATGGCATCCATTTTGTGGCTGCAACCACCATGCTGTGTAAGAATTCCACGCCAGTTTGGTGTAGAGTGGTGGACTCTAATCTGGAGAACGGTTTGATTCCCCGCTCCTCCACATGCAGCGGTGGACTCTAATCTGGAGAACTGGGTTTGATTCCCCATTTCTCCACATGCAGCCAGCTGGGTGACCTTTGGTCAGTCCCAGTTCTCTCAAGAGAGCAGTACTTTCAGAGCTCTCTCAGCCCCACCTAACTCACAGGGTGTCTGTTGTGGGGAGAGGGAAGGAAGGTGACTGTAAGAAGGTGACTGAAAGGTTGGACAACACTTTCAATTACCATGTCAGATTACACAGGGAAGCCATTGAAATTCACCAACATAAACATAATTTCAACACGAAAGAAGAGTTTAAAAATAAATAGGACATGGCTTCCTGTCCTGAAAAACACAAAAGGCTTTACATCAGACAATAGCACTACAGTTAAGATTAGAATTTCAACAACCTCCTCAGGAAGCAGGAAACCTCCTCAGGAAACAAAAGAACCTCCTCAGGAAAGCTCCTCCATTAGCATGTCCATAGCCTGTTGAACTCCTACAAGACAATGACTCAGCCCTACCCACCTTCTGGAGTAGATATAAATTTACTGCCTACCATTTTCTTCTCACCTTGACACAGAGAGTATTCCATCTTTCTGTGTTTATACCTCTGAGGATGCCAGTCACAGTTACTGGCGAAACGTCAGGTTCTACAATGCCAAGACCACGGCCACACATCCCGGAAAATCTACAGCAACTAGTGACTGTAAGTCTCTCCAAAACTCCTTTGGGTAGTGAAGAGCAGGATATAAAACCAACTCTTTGTCTTCAAAGGTGCCCACAGGCTCAAAAATTGGGAACCTCTGATTTATGTAATTTATAATCCACCTTTCTCACTAAGGATCAAAGCAGATTACAAAATACTAAAAAAAACACCAAAATTCAGACAGCGTGAGCTCTCTGACGAACAATGCAACAAGACCAGAATTACAGAATTAGAAAACACAAACAGAAAACTGTCTAAGATATGACATACTATAAACAATGTAGAGAGCAGATTACCAAGGGAGAAGACAGCGCCCCAAGTTAAAACAGTTAAGAGCCCTTGCTTCACAATAATTTTTTTGACTTAGCTTTCAAACTGCTTCGAACGAAGATTAATCCTTCTTAGTGCACCGACAAGTCAGAACCCAAAAACAAGCAATATGCCTTCTCTCAGGGTAACTAACTGACAGTGTAATCCTAAAGAGAGTTGAAGCCAGTGAGTTTAGATGAGTGTAATTCCAACAGACCTTCCTAGGCAAAGCATCTCCGATCTAAGCCGCTCGCCATAAAACTTGCGCTGAAAACCTAGACAGACTTATTCCAGTTCAAGCCTGCCGAAATCAAAATCCTACAGACATCCTTTCTCCATCACACAGGTACAGACAAAGGTGCGTTTCGCCCCCAAAACAAGGAAACTCTTACCCGTAAGGACTGAGTTCTTTCTCAGTGCACCAGAAACGGCTTTTAGTAGGTACTGTATGTCCGTACTGGACAGTTTGGTCAACCTTTGCAAATCTGCTCCTGAAAGATTCAAAACCTCTTTGATGGATCTTAGGTTAGCTGGAATGAGAAAAGTGATTAAATATGACTGGTTTTATTTCTTTCCCCATATAATGAATAAATAATAAAAAATTATTATTATTAACCCTTTTCACTGTTGTTGCCAAAGAAAGTTGCTGCATTTATTTATTTATTTAATTGCATTTATATCCCGCCCTCCCCGCATGCGGGCTCAGGGCGGCTTACAAGACATAGGTGTAATACAATACCACAGTTACACAATGAAGGCACACAATGCAATAAAATACAGTTAAAACAATTTAAAACAATTAATTTGTTTTACTTCTTGATCGATGCAGACCTCACTCAAAGCATTTCAGCTCAAGCGGCAGTTTAATTTTAGGCATGATCTACTGGAGAGGCGCTGCTGGATTTCACAGAATTTACGTTTGAGGAAATGCACAGAGGGTTGCAAGACTTACAGGACAACCCTAAGCATTTATGTCCTTCTGCGTCTACTGACTTCCATGGATTTTGAAGGGTGTGACTCTGCTTAGGACCACAGTGTTACTCCCAGGAAAATGTTCTTAAGATTGCAGCATAAGCCCCACTGGCCCTGACCTGGATAGCCCAATCTCATCAGAACTCGGAAGCTAAGCAGAGCCGGTCCTGGTCCAGTAGTTGGATGGGAGACCAACCAAGGAAGTCCAGGGTCGCTACGCAGAGGCAGGCAATGGCAAACCACCTCTGAACTTCTCTTGCCTTGAAAACCCTACGGGGGTTGCCATAAATTGGCTGCAACCTGACTAGAGATGTAAAATTTCTGGAAATTTTGAAGCTCGGGAAAAAACCCGTTTTTTCCCCAGTTTTTTTCGGGGGAAAACAGAAATTTTCGGAAAAATTGAAAAAAAATGCTACATTAGCACTTCTTTTGTCTTTTCTAGATTGAAAGTCATTCTGCTACTTTAGGAACATAAAATATGACTAGGGACATTTTTACTTGGCATGAAATTATCACAACTAGCATATTAAAAATATAGTGTATCCAAACAGTTATTACAAACAGAATACCCGCCCACATGCAAAAACAAAACTGAAACCTTTTTATTTTCTTCTGACAATAGCACCTCCTAAAGGAAGAAATGCACCTTGTTCTTGCATTGGAGAGTTCAGTTTGTAACCTAGGACTTGCTTGTCCTCAGTGCACAGAAATTAGATCAATCTGATACCATATATATATATATATTAGAAATGATTTGGAAAATATTTGAACACCTTGTCTTAAAATATTTTATCCATCATGTTAAAATAAAATGTTCTATAATCAATTTTTTTTCTTTTCTTTTTTCAATTTTTCCAATTTTTCGGAAAAAAACAAAAAAGGCTTCAGGAAAAAAACCGTTTCCCCCCCGAATTTTTCCGGGTTTTTTCCGGGCCTTCACATCTCTAAACCTGACAGCACCTTACACACACACACAATTTTGCAAAGACATACTGCTGAAACGGGTGGGATTTATTTTTCAGTAAACATAAATAGGCTCAGACTGGAATGAGAAAAGAACACTTAGCAGGCAGTAGTCGCAGCCTACCCAGCCGTGAAATTCAGAGGGTAACTTCCCCAAGCCAAAAGCGAAAGTAGCAAAACTCAAGTTTAGAGGTTAAACCCACAATCACCAGCAATGCTCCCTCTAAGCTGTGGAGTCTTGTGAGCAAAAATTCTACTTTGGGAGCTACTGGCATGAAAGTGGTGAGCGAGCGATTTGGCTGCTGCATAAATTAGTCTGCTCTGGAGCCATCCTTCCTGATCGAAGACAAAAATGTGTGAGCTGGAGGATAAAAAACGGTGAGCTAGCTCACACTAACTCAGCTTAGAGGGAACACTGATCACCAGGTGTGCAAACATGGGAACCGGACTCAAGAGATGTTATCTTTTTATATTTTTATTTAAATGCAACAAGTTACCTTTTTTAAGAGCTGCAATCACTCTGGGGTTCATGTCGAGCTGATCCCAGTCCATTTCTTAAAAACTGCTGGGCCACACAATGTCCTGCAATAGGGTAGACAGAGATAAAACGTAGATCAGAAGGAGCAGTGGCAAGGGAGACTGAGCCTTTAACCTAGTGGCAAAATTCCTATTTTTTTGGATTGCATCCAGCAGCAACAATATCTCACCCACAATCTCCTTCTGTGCTGCTCCTAGCCTGGTCCAGCCTGAGTAGCCCTTCCACTTATCCTGAGCTGTTTTTATGACCTAATCTGCCCTGGCAAACTTCAATATGAGCCACTCCCTGATCCGAATGCACAATACTAGTTCCCAGCTGTCATTTTAACAAAAATATCCACTGCTTTTCACTGTGGAATTGTAAGAGGACAACCTGCACCTTTCCCCTTATAACTCAGCACTGAAAAGGGCTAGAGACTTACTTTTTAAAAAACGGTTAAGCTGTGCACTAATACATTACTTCAATGGGTTGTTCTAACATTAGGGCAATGTATCAACGGCCAGTTCTTTAAGCCAGGAAAGGTCCACCAGGGTGTGCATGTGTGGAAAATGGCAACCACGAGAGCCGAGGCAAGGAAAATGGTGTCAATATGAACAGGACCTGCAAAAATGCACAACTTTCCATTCACACAATGTACAAAGGCTCATTTTCTCAAAAGACCCTACCAGACAAAGTATGGGAAAGATCACAGCAAAGCAGGGGAAAACACCAGCACTGAACACACCAGAAGTGGACAATTAGTGGACAGTGTCTCTGGATGCTCCCCAAAACAGTGCTGCTGTAAGGAAGCCAAAGTGAAAAAAAGCATCCATGTGGTAACAGCCTAATCTTACAGGAAAGGAACAAAAAATTACCTTTCTCCACCTCCCTATCCACTTTCTGCACAAGAATAATTTTAGAAACCTCTATCATCCCCCCTTTCTTTCCCCTCCCATTCCTGGACTGGTCAGGGGAGGAGAGAATCTACACATATGGGAACCGGACTCAAGAGATGTTACCTTTTTATATTTTTATTTAAATGCAACAAGTTACCTTTTTTAAGAGCTGCAATCACTCTGGGGTTCATGTCGAGCTGATCCCAGTCCATTTCTTAAAAACTGCTGGGCCACACAATGTCCTGCAATAGGGTAGACAGAGATAAAACGTAGATCAGAAGGAGCAGTGGCAAGGGAGACTGAGCCTTTAACCTAGTGGCAAAGTTCCTATTTTTTTGGATTGCATCCAGCAGCAACAATATCTCACCCACAATCTCCTTCTGTGCTGCTCCTAGCCTGGTCCAGCCTGAGTAGCCCTTCCACTTATCCTGAGCTGTTTTTATGATCTAATCTGCCCTGATGAAGGGGCAAACTTCAATATGAGCCACTCCCTGATCCGAATGCACAATACTAGTTCCCAGCTGTCATTTTTTTTTAAAATCTCCACTGCTTTTCACTGTGGAATTGTAAGAGGACAACCTGCACCTTTCTCCTTATAACTCAGCATTGAAAACGACTAGAGACTTACTTTTTAAAAAACAGTTAAGCTGTGCACTAATACATTACTTCAATGGGTTGTTCTAACATTAGAGCAATCTATCAACGCCCAGTTGTTTAAGCCAGGAAAGGTCCACCAGGGTGTACATGTGTGGGAAATGGCAACCACGAGAGCCAAGGCAAGGAAAATGGTGCTAATGTGAACAGGACCTGCAAAAAGGGATTGGATTCATACCCCGCCCTTCACTCGGAGTCTCAGGGCAGCTTACAAACTCCTTTCCTATCTCCTCCTAACAGACACCCTGCGAGGTAGGTGGGACTGAGAGAGCTCAATCGAGAACTCCTCTTTCAAGAACAGCTTTGACAGAACGAGGTCATCCAGCAGCTGCAAGTGGAGGAGTGTGTAATCAAACCCAGTTCTCCCAGATTAGAGTCTGCGCACTTAACCGCTACACCAAACTGGGTTTAGTAAAAGTGATCCAACCCACTGATCATATCAGTTTTTCAAAATATTCTTTTTCATGTGTAGTGAAGAGCACCAGTACAGTGTTCTGGATCAAGTGGCAGACTAGGATGCTGGGTGACCTGGGTTTAAATCACCACTTCTATCACAGACGCTTGCTGGGAGGCCTGTCAAAAACTCTCAGCATGGCTTACCTCACAAGGCTGTTGTGGGAATATGGAAGAGGGGGAAACGATGTTCCAAAGTAGCTCTGAGCATGAAATAGGGAGAAAAGCAAGATACAGACAAAATAAATGTGCCTATTGCATTTTATGGCCTTTAAGTGCCACTGCTTACAATTTTTTCTTTATACCCACTGTCAACTGACAATAGCACTTCCTATCTCTTTGATCAATATACAGAACGGATAATAGGGAAAGCTTATGGATTAGATTTAGATAAAGGAGGAGTGAAAAGTGGTGGAAGGAACATTAGTAATTTGAGATATGCAGATGACACCACGTTACCAGCAGAAAACAGTGAACCCTTGAAATAACTCTTGATAACGGTTAAAGCATCAAGTGCCAAAGCTGGATTGCAGCTGAACATCAAGAAGGCAAAAGTAATGACTACTGAGGAATTACACAGCTTTAAGGCTGACGATGAAGAAACGGAAATTGTTCAAGATCTTCTGTTCTTTGGCTCCCTCATCAACCGAAAGGGAGACTGCAACCAAGGGGACTGCAAATAGACTGAGACTGGGACGGGCAGCCATGAAGAAGTTAGGGAAAATACTTACGGATAAGGATGTGTCACTGGCGATCAGGATCAGGTTAATTCATGCCACATTATTGACTCAATCAAGAAAGCCACAGCCCTCAGTTTGCAAAATATGAGCAAGGCTATTAGTGACAGAAGTCACTCACTGGTATAGTCAGTCACTGTGCCCCCCATCAGAAACTGCTAGGATGCCAGCCTCCAGGTGGGACCTGGGGATTCCCTGGAATTACAGCTCATCTCCCGACCACGGAGATCAGTTCCCCTGGAGGAAATGGATTCTTTGGAGGGTGGATTCGGTGGCATTGTACCCCACTGAGGTCCCTCCCTTCCCCAAGATCCGTCCCCAAATCTGCAGGAGTTTCCCAACCTGGATCTGGCAACCCTGCCCCCCATTCCCTGCCAGTGGCCTGGTAACCCTAGAACACACCGCACCCAGATCCTACCAGCATTATCTGCACATTTGAGCAGAGGCACCTTTAAGGTCAACGAAGTTTAATTCTGGATGTAAGCTTTCATGTGCACACTTCTTCAGAGACACTGGAAAAAACTTCCTCAAGCCTTACAGATGGGCTAGTTAGAGTCAAGATGCATAAGTATGCATCTTTCTTGACTCTAACTAGCCCTACCTGACCACTAACCCCCTACCTGTATATTCGGCTTGAGGAAGTTTGTTTCTCACTGTATCTGATGAAGGGTGCGTGCACACTTCAGCTCTTACCCAGAATTAACCTTTGTTGGTTTCAAGGTGCCCCGGATTCAAACTTTGTTCTGTGGCTTCAGACCAACACAACCACCCACCAGACTCTAGCATTATTTGTAGTTACCTTAATGTTTGCCTCGCCACGTTGCAATGCACGACTAAATCGCTTTCCCCACTACTTGCTCACAAGCAGACAGGGCGTCGGCGGGAAATAAAAAGACAGATACCCGCATGAACTTCCCAACAGCGCATCCATTACAAAACAAACCAGCCAAACCATTTGGCTACGAACGAGCTGGGCCCGCGCAAGATATTAGCCAATCACACCGCGCGGAAACCAACACTCGGCCAATCAGCTACGAGAAAGCTGTTCTCGCTCCTAAACGGCCTCCCCCTGTTTTTCACCACCGGACTCCACTCCAGCCCTAGACCAGAGTGGCAACTAAACTGCGCATGCGCTTTTGCCCCTCCCTCCCGTCGCGTTACACCCTTGGGAGGGAACGATTGGCTGAGAGGGTCACACCGAGGGGCGGGGCGCCCTGTCCGTCCCGTTGTGTGCGGGGCGGAAAAACAACACCTCCTCCTCCCTCCCTAAGTGGCACGCCCTCCGCTTTCATTGGCGCCTCGCGCTGCCCATCTTCGAAGGAGGCGCTGCTGATTGGGCAATCCTTGGTGGGCCAGCGGCTTGGGCGCGTCGCCGTGCGGCCGTGGCGGCTGTGAGGTGAAAATGTCGGGCCGAGAGGCCCGCGAGGGCAAGAAGTTGGTCCGCTCGCCCAGCGGGCTCCGGATGGTGCCTGAGAGCCGGGCCGCGCGGAGCCCCTTCGATCTGGAAGAGCCGCCGTGGGTGCCCGATAAGGAGGTAACGGCGCGGCGGCGCAGCCTCCCCCGGGTCCCTCCCCGCAGCCTCCGCCCCAACTCGGGGCTCCGGTGGGCCGCCTCCGCCGCGTCTGAATCAGCCTCGCCCCGGGTTCCTCGCTCTCTCGCGGGCCTCCTCCTCTCCCGGGGCTCCCTTTCTCAGGCAGCTGGCTGTGCCTTTGCATGCAGACGGAAACCTCCCTGCAAGGAGAAAACTAGCGCTGCAGGGAGAAGCGGGGTTTCTCCCCCCCCCCCGCCGCCGCGCGCGTACTGCTGGCTTTCTCTTTGCAGGGAGGGTTTCCTTTTTAGTGCGAAGAAACATTCAGGATCTGCCAGCGAGAGAGGCAACAGAGGAATGGCAGGAGACTGGAAGTGATGGTAGTGGGGGGAATGGGGTTTTTTTTGGTCCACGTTTTGTACACGTAAGATAGATCAAGATGGGTAGCACCTTAAAGACTAACCAGATTTGTGGCAGGGTGTGAGCTTTCGTGAGTCACTGCTTGCTTCTTCAGATACAGCTAGAAAGCGATAGATCAAGATGGGTAGCCGGGTTACTCTGGCTGCAGCAGTGGAAAAGAGCAAGAGTCCAGGAGCACCTTAAAGACTAACCAGATTTGTGGCAGGGTGTGAGCTTTCGTGAGTCACTGCTTGCTTCTTCAGATACAGCTAGAATGCGATAGGTCAAGATGGGTAGCCGAGTTAGTCTGGCTGTAGCAGTAGAAAAGAGCAAGAGTCCAGGAGCACCTTAAAGACTAACCAGATTTGTGGCAGGGTGTGAGCTTTCGTGAGTCACTGCTTGCTTCTTCAGATACAGCTAGAATGCGATAGACCAAGATGGGTAGCTGTGTTAGTCTGGCTGCAGCAGTGGAAAAGAGCAAGCGTCCAGGAGCACCTAAAAGACTAAGAAAATTTGTGGTAGGGGAGGAGCTTCTGTTAGCCACCGCTCACTTCTTTAGATACAGCGCTGTATGTGTAAAGAGTTAATTTATGGATGGCTAAAAAGACTTTCACAGGAGGAGGAGGAGAGCGGTGGCACCACAAAAGTCTCCTGTGGCCCAGGGAGCTGAGGCATATGGGGTAGCCAGGGCTGGTTGTTTCAGGGAACGGGACACTGTGGGTAGTGGTGCGGCTGGAACATCAAACTCTTCCTTACTGTGGTTTATTCACAGGACTTGTCTCCTGCCTTTCCGCCCTTGCAAGGTGGCCGACAACTTAAAACATACTTATAAAATTACATCGTAAAACCATTAAAATCAATCCCCCCCTTCCAAACCCACATCATTAAAACAATGTAGAAAAGAGCTAAAAAACAGAATTAAAGTACGGACAAAACAGTTAAAATACACACGATATGCTGGCTAGGATCATTGTGACTGTGGTTGGCGAGGTCTTTGGAAGGAAGAATCCATGAAAGGCTCTGAAGAACAGAATAAGGGCTTTTGTGTTGCGTGTGGATAGCGTTAATGGAGAACACTGCATAGTTTGGGCAGCAAGAGGGGTGAGTGATTTTGGTGGCAGAGTCCTGGGTAACATGGAACAGCAGAAAAGGAGACGGGTCAAGGGCGTTCGTAAGAATTTTCACCATAGGGCAGCAGAGGGGAAGGGTTGTCTGCTAGGAAGAAGCAGTGTGAACAGGTGACTGGTGGACCAACTATGGGGAATGAAGGAGAGGGAGGAATCAAAACGGAGGCTTTGTGCCTTAGTCGCTGGAGAAGACTCTTGAGAGTCCCTTAGAATTAAAGTACGGACAAAACAGTTAAACTACACTCGATATGCTGGCTAGAAAGGAGGGGATCATTGTGACTGTGGTTGGCGAGGTCTTTGGAAGGAAGAATCCATGAAAGGCTCTGAAGAACAGAATAAGGGCTTTTGTGTTGCGTGTGGATAGCGTTAATGGAGAACACTGCATAGTTTGGGCAGCAAGAGGGGTGAGTGATTTTGGTGGCAGAGTCCTGGGTAACATGGAACAGCAGAAAAGGAGACGGGTCAAGGGCGTTCGTAAGAATTTTCACCATAGGGCAGCAGAGGGGAAGGGTTGTCTGCTAGGAAGAAGCAGTGTGAACAGGTGACTGGTGGACCAACTATGGGGAATGAAGGAGAGGGAGGAATCAAAACGGAGGCTTTGTGCCTTAGTCGCTGGAGAAGACTCTTGAGAGTCCCTTGGACTGCAAGAAGATCAAATCAGTCAATCCTAAAAGAAATCAACCCTGATTGTTCCCTGGAAGGCCAGATAATGAAACTGAAGCTCAGATACTTTGGCCACCAAATGAGAAGGGCGCACTCACTGGAGAAGACCCTGATGCTGGGAAAGATTGAAGGTCAAAGAAGACGGGGACGGCAAAGGATGAGATGGTTAGACAGTGTCATCGATGCAACGAACATGAAATTGAGCAAACTCCAGAGGACGGCGGAAGACTGGAAGGCCTGGCGTGATCTGGTCCATGGGGTCGCGAAGAGTCGGACTCGACTGTGCGACTGAACAACAAAAAGCAAGGTAGATGGCGAATTTGTCATTAGATGTATACCAAAAGGAAAGGAAGACTTGAGGGGGGAAGTGAGAGGTTTGGTCTTAGATATGTTGACCGAGATCCCGAGTGTGGCAGTAAGAACTTGGCTTGTCCTCTGTGTATAGAGGGTGGTAGTGACAGCCATGGGACTGGTTGAGATTACCAAGGAATAGTATATAGAGAATCTGAGGAAATCCAACAGGAAGCTTCCCCCTTTAGAAAGGCTGAATGAGTTAATCAGCAGGTAATACCTGTTGCAGCCAGATAGACACACGAAGAAAAGGAGTTCTGCTAGCAGAAAAAGAGGTGTTGACTGAGCAATCAATGTGATCGGGACACTGTAGGACCCTTGTGCAATGCTGTGCTTGTTCCACGAAATACCAGCTTTCTTGGCAAGAAACTAGGAAGTGTAGCCTCAGATAGAAACAGCCCCGCAGAGGAGGCGTGGATCGTCCCAGGTTTCTTAGTCTGACTCCAGCGTCAGCCCCCAAATTAAGCTGCTGTAGGCATAACAATTTCCCAAGTCAGTGAAACCTTCATTGAGTTATTAGTAGCTGTTGCCTAGAGGGAGGTTTGCGATACTTTTTGTGCAGTCCCCAGGGGATATTGTAGGAGTGCGAACACACCTTTGTTCTCAAAACAGCAGTAATGTCATCCGTAGCATACCTTGATTCGGTACTGTATCCAGTGCCAGCTTTGCCTATTCCTTACTTTGTCGTTAGTATGGACAATACTACCTAAAACAGTGGTGGTGGAAGGTGCCGTCAAGTCACAGCCCCATAGGGTTTTCAAGGCGAGAGATTAACAGAGGTGGTTGGCCATTTCCTGCCTCTCTGTAGTGACCCTGGACTTCCTTGGTGATCTCCCATCCATGTTGTTAATCAGGGCCGACCCTGCTTATCTTCCAAGATGAGGCTAGCCTGGGCCAGCCAGGTCAGGATATGACCAGTGTTCCCTCTAAACTGGGTTAGTGTGAGCTAGCTCACAGGTTTTTTAGCCTCCGGCTCACACATTTTTGTCTTAGCTCAGGAAGGGACAGCTCCAGAGCAAACTAATTTATGCAGTAGCCAAATCACCCGCTCACAACTTTAATGCCAGCAGCTTACAAAGTAGGATTTTTGCTCACAGGACTCCACCGCTTAGAGGGAGCATTGGATACGACCTATAATATGCTGGGAAAGATTGAAGGTCAAAGAAGACAGGGACGGCAAAGGATGCGATGGTTAGACAGTGTCATAGATGCAACGAACATGAAGTTGAGCAAACTTCAGAGGACGGCGGAAGACTGGAAGGCATGGCGTGATCTGGTCCATGGGGTCGCGAAGAGTCGGACTCGACTGTGCGACTGAACAACAACAACATAATACGCTACTGCTATAAGAAACCACAAAAACATGGGAATAAATGTAGTCATAGTATATAGTTTATATATTTATATAAATATATGTTCTCATAGTAATACACCCACAGTCTGATGTATGTATGGTCTCAACGCTACACATGTTGGCTAATACACTTC